TTCGAGGATCATGGCAGAAAAAGGAATTTTTTGAGATACAAAAGTATCAACAATAAATAAATAAAATACTTTTTTTTTCTTAATAATTGGTTCGTTTTGGACCATTGTTAAAGTATTTATTAGAGGTCGCTTAGTAACTGTTATCGGATAGAGTTATGTGAATATTTGTTCGAATTAGATATTGATTGATTAAATTCATATATTTTTTTATTTAAATTTCGAAAAGATTATTGATCAGAAAAACATAATCACAAAATAATTTCAATTTTGCCGAAATTAATTGAAATAAGATAAAATTGTTCAATTTTGGTTTTGTTTTATTGAGACATTTCTATATATATGAGTATATTTTGTTTACAATATATAAAGAACATTCAGAATTCGTTTTTTTTAAAGACTATGTAATATAATTGATGATAAAACCAAAATAAATACTCGAAAAGATAAATTTCAGAAGAAGTTACAATATTTAGTCAATTAATCTATATTGTACATTATTTGAGATTCTTTTTACAAGATATTTCGATGATAAGCTAGAGATTTGAGTGGCTATTTATTAAAAATAGAGACGAATCTTTATTTTAACATTTATTCTGAATTAATAACATTAGAATTGGTTGATAATTCAAAAGAAAAAAGTACAATATAACAAAAATTGTTTTTCAAATTTGAATTAAGAATAGAACTTCACAGAACAAACGAGTAAAGAAACTAAGGAAAAGAACTTTTAGAAGGTCAAAAAACCTCAAGAAGATGAGTTATTTTAACAAGAATGAAAAAACTGATTTTCAATGATCATTTGAATTTTCGATTTTTCATAAATTCGATAAGATTATGTTTTCATTTTGTAAAAATTGAATAAACTTCCAATGTGTAGTCGGTAGAGTGTTACATCAGGTCCAAAAACTTTCTTTGAACTTAACCAAAGAATTATGAGCCATTCCATCATATCTACTACTGATACATTATTCGACTGTGTGTGTTATAAAGAAATATTTGCTCTTTCAATTTTGTATGCTCACAAATAGATAATACTCTTTCTTGGCTAAATTATTGAGCTAAGTAAAATCGAGTGAAAGAGCAAATATTTATCTACAAAATATATGTTCGAATAACGAGTCAATATTCGAGATTATGTTATGATTCATAGTTCTTTGATTGAGTTCAGAAAATCTTTCTGAATCTGATGCAGCCATCAAATCGCCAGGATCATCGGAAACATTAAAAATAAGATAGAATATAGATATGACAAAAATAATCTGAAATGTTTTTTCTCCAGAATTTATTCTTTCTGAATTTTGTAGATGATTTTTCGTATAGTTAAACCCTTTTTTTGCTTTTAATATTATTTCAAAATTCATAGAACAGCTTGTCTGCGTGTAAATATCCGTAATAGATAAACATATGGAAGAAAAAAGAAATTTCAATGACAATAAATTTTTAAACATTAGTATTTGAATATTAATTATCTAATATAAACGCATGATTATTTCATTTGTTACCATTTTCACCCTTTTTTTTCCCTACTACTATACTTCGATTAAAAAGACTGGTTTTTTTCATCTGATAAAATGTCATCGAAAAACTATTCGAAAATGATTTCATAGATTTAAAAAACTATAAAACTCAAAGAATATATATGGAAGAAAAATTAATGACAAGAAATTTTTATTAAATAATGAAATCAAATTTTCATTTCTAACTGTAATAAAACAGTTACTTATTTTGAACAAAAAGTTTCTCTCGTAACTAGACATGAAATTATCATCATTGCTATAATATGCCTTATAATTTATATTTATGTATATTCGAAATTGATGTTTCTGTTTGATTATCAACATTATTTTTCTGTAGTTCTTATTGAAATTTAATTTTCCCCATTGATATATATTATATACACTTTGAGCAACCATGCTTATAATTGTTAATATAAATACTTGTGCTTTTAGTTCTTCTTTTCCTCTTAAGTACTTTCTATGGTAAAACATTCAATATAAATATGTACTAAAAAGATCAATAGATTATATATTTGATTATCGGATTTTAAATGTACAAATTTTCTATCTATTTTTAGTTAAATAAAATTTCCATTAAATAAATTATATATCTCAAAATAAATATAAAAATATTTCTTATCATTAGTAATGGATAATCATTTCGTGTTTATTATTCTTTCATATAGTGATTTATTTGTTTTTTAACTATTTTGATATATCATCACTATATTCTAAATAGAATACTATATATTTCGATGACATCTTCATTTATATATATAATCAATCATTAGTTCAGCTATACTTACTTACCTGATTGCTTGTTTAAAGCTCCACCTTTCTCTCATATATATACATCTAATTTTCAATAAAAAAAACAACGCACAGCATGTTATTAATAGGATATTTCTTGATTATCATTGTTTTTTCGATGCATCTATAATCGAAATATACTTATGAGTAGATTGTTTTCGATACCATACGGTTCCTTCTCATACATAGAAGTATATAATAATTATTATGGGAGATAGACAATGACGAACTTCTTTTTTTCTAAGCTCTCCACCCCTCACATCAACATTTGATTTTCACACATTTCACTAATAAGTTTGAAGCATGCAAGTAACTTATGCATGTATGTGCACGCCTATACCGGAAATTCTTTAAAAAAAACAAACTTTTTTTTTTCAAAAATCATGGATAGATTTTAATCACCATGTCATTGAGAATTAATTACTTTTTTCATATGTCCTCATCTTTCAACATTCAAATGTACGATATAATGACAAGTCTATTTGGATAAAGTAAATGTATATCTCATCTATATATATATATATAGTATAGAGATTGATGTTTGAAAAAACATACGATGAGTAAGTTAGCAGCAATTATCATCCATTAGAGAGTCGAGAGATTTCGATCGGACAGTAAAAGAAAAAAAGTGAGTTAACAACCATTTTACCGCCATCATATTGTTACTGTGATTGAAAGTATGCCTTACGGCAAATGAACGAATGGACAAGTACGAGTAAAGACAAAAAAAAAAGAGAGAAGTGACTTGTCACTTGATCACTAGAGAGAAAATGGACAGTGGCATTCTGTCCGCCCATATTGTCATTGCTTTTCTACCTGCATATCGTCTAAGTTAATTTTTTGTTCGTGACTTGTGTCTATTGATGATAGATTAAAAACCAAACTAAATTTAACATTCTTTTTTCCTCTTGAATACATATTATCATTAGCACGTTTTATGTTTGTCAATGTCACAATGAGTATTCATAGTTGATCATGTTGAAATATGATCTCTGTTCAATGTTATTTATTAGTTGAAATGCGTACATATCGTTCGATCTACATGAGTCCATTAAAAACAGTAGGATTCATTTTGTTCTCAGTGAGGAAAGTAATTGAGACATTATCTCAATCTTTTCTTTGATGAACGCATTGAGATACATATACTATCAATAATATGATTTAATTGAGTGTTATCTTGTTTTTTTAATCGATGAGAATCAAAATCATCATTGTCGCTTATATCAAAAACAACAACAAGAAAAAAAGAACGATCTAGGGGTTAAAGTAATGATGTCATCCAATATCTTAACATCTTCTGATTGATTAAATCAATCTTTAGCAGTTGTATATATTTATATATACGTATGTGATGCTTCGTCTTTTCTTTACACATATAAGGAGTGAAAGAGAAACGTTCGCTCATACAATAGAACGTGTTAATGGAGTTTGATGACGATGATGATCGGAGTACCCTGAAGCTTTTCTTGCTTCAAAACTATTACTACTACTTCTTGAATGTACGCTGAATTCAATGTTATACGCCGTTTACCCTCAAGGCAATGAGATGAAAGCTCCCCTTTTTTTTGTTGCTCTATCGTTTCAGCCAGATGTAAAGGCGGAGCCGCCTCTAAAATATCATGCTCATTTTACAGACTACATTTATATATATATATATATACTCAAAACTAAGTAAATCAAAAAAATAAACAATGACATAGTTGTTTAACGCATGGATATTTTTCGAAAAGTCTCATCATATATATATAAAATGCTGTTAATAAATTATTTACTTTTTTCATCATCAACAGCAATGTGTTGTTGTTATTATCGAAAGAAGAATGTTCAACATTCTTCATTTTTTTTTTTTGTCTTTAAAATGAATCATTTATATATACAGTCTGTCTGTTACTGTTTTTTCACGCAAGTGTATATATACAGGAGAAAAGGTGCAAAACTAACATTGACCATATGTCATGCTATCAACAACACTATATCTGAATATAGAAAAAAAAGTGAAAGAGAGAGAGAGAGAGAGAGAGAGAGAGAGAATAGACTATGTTTTGTTTATATGTACTCTTGTCTAAATGAAATAATTGCTTTTCGATCTGTATTCAAAAGAAAATAACTTAGCATCTCTCAATATTAGTAATCGTATATTCAAACCCATTTGAAGGATAAACATAATTGTTGTTATTGCTGTTGTTGTTAGTGTTGTCTTTCTTTATTCTTTTTAACTTATCACAATGACCTCCATCATCTTCTTCCGGATTGAGTTTGGTTCTAAATGTGTGGTGATAAGAAAGAAAAATCTTCGTTCTCATTCATGTTCATCGTTTGCTTAGCCAAAAAAAAAGAAAGAAAAGAGACAGGAAGAAAAAAAAGAGATTGTTTGTCTGTATGCTCTTTCAAGCGATCGACCAATGAGAAAATGTTCCGCTCAACCAACAGGAAACGGGAAGAGAATAATAATCATAATAATAATAATAACCACTCTCCTCCCCTTTAGAATTGTCTGAAAGTAGCAGAAGAAAAATCTCTTCTTTTTTATTCTTCGTTCTTATTTTTTTCTACTAAACAAAGAGACAGAAAGAAAGATTGACATTTACTAATACAGAATTTTTCTTCGTATTTTTTTTTCTCGTGTGATTCATTTTGATGAAATAGAAGAAAATAATTTTCATACTATATACTTTTCTACAGATAATCGACATAATGAAAAATAGTCTAAAATTGTCTCGTTATAATACAGGATACCAGCATGATTATCAAGATACTATTTTCAATGATTATACAGGTAAGAAAAAAAAAAAAACAAGAAGAAAAAAAAGAAAAGCATTTTAGATTTCTTCGTTTTCTTTATCCTTTTTCTTTTTCTTTTTACATAGAAACAAAACATCCATCAATATGTGCAGGTTGTAATTGTCAAATATATGATCAATATTTATTAAAAGTTACACCAGATCTTGAATGGCATATTCAATGTTTAAAATGTTCGGAATGTGGACAATATTTAGATGAAACTACAACATGTTTTGTTCTTGATGGAAAAACTTTTTGTAAATATGATTATATACGGTATATATCAAGTCTTAGTTCGTTTTTTTTGTTATATACCGACAAAAGAATTTTACTTGAAAAAATTATCACAAATGATAATCATCTCAGCAGTAAAAAAATTAACACACTTCAAATAGCATATGTGTCGTCTCGGCAAACAACTTCGTTCGATAAGAGAAGAGAGAGAAAAGGAGATGACTTTTTTAGCTAAATGCATACAAATGAGAGTCATTGATGAATGAATTATTTACAAAAGCTTTTCATGCAGATTTGACCAGTCTCCCCACTTTCACTTGAACAGCTTGCAGATAAGAATAAAGACAATACATATATAGAAGAGATTTCACTTAGTAGAATTAATTCTCTTTCTTTTAATCACGCAATGATGTTTCTTTCTTTTTTTCTTTTTTTTCATTTGTATATTCTTTCAATTAGATTGTTTGCATCAAAATGTGCTAAATGTCAAGAATCATTTTCTAAAAATGAATTATATATTCGTACAGCATTCTATCGTCGTTATCATACAGATTGTTTTCGTTGTAATCATTGTGATCGTTTACTTGTATCGGGTGATGAATATTATTTACATGGACAAAATCAAATTTTATGTCGACAAGATTTTCAACAATTAAATTCATCTAATGATTCAATAGAAACACCAACAGCAGGTATATTACAAAGAAAGAAAAGCGTATGGCGTGCATGCATACTTACATCCGTTCGGATGTGGCTATGGCGTGAAGGAAGGAATTGACGGCGTGCGTCCAATGCCGGAAGTCAGATCAGTCTGGGGTGCTCTCTTTTCACGCTATATATATATACTATAGTAAAACGACCGAGAGAATGACTACTAATCAGTCAACACCGTTTTTTTTACTCTCTTACTAAACCGGATACAGCCAATAAATGCACGTGTCGATTGAGAGACACAACAAAGAAAAATTTATTATCCTATATTGAGATGTGTGGCTATTTGAATTAAATCGTTTCTCTTTTTTTATTTTTTTTGATGACATTGTGATAGTATTGATAAATGATTGTCTGACTGATTTTAATCTGATATATATATATATGTATACGCGTGTGTCTATTGAGAATTCAAGTCATGATCAATCGTATATTTCAACATCGAATGACATTTATTATCGTGAGACTTTTTTGTTTCTTATCATTTTAAATTCATATGTTTAGCGACAAATAATAATATACAATTACATGTACCTCCAACATGTTCATCACCATCAACAACATCAAGTTCATCAAATCAACCTATAGGATCAATAATTACTTCATCAACATCAACTATAAAATCAATGAATAATAATATACGAAAAGATAAAACAACACGTATGCGTACAGTTTTAAATGAAAAACAATTATTAACATTACGTACATGTTATGGTGCAAATCCTCGACCGGATGCACTTATGAAAGAACGACTTGTTGAAATGACACAATTATCACCACGTGTTATACGTGTTTGGTTTCAAAATAAACGTACGAATTCTTTTTTTTTCATTTCTTTATTTTTGTATCGAAATAAATTTTTTTTCTTTTTTTTCTTTTATAGGTTGTAAAGATAAAAAGAGAAGTATTTTAGCTAAACAAACTCAAGAACAACAAAAAATTTTAACAAGTATTAATCATGGTATACCATTAGTTGCATCATCACCTGTACAAAATGATATAAATATTGGTTTACCACCTCCAACAATTGTTCAAGTTCAATATCATTCAAATGGTTCATGGAAAACATTTAATTCATATTCAAATGGACGTCATTTACAAATTCAACAACAAAATTATCATGATATTAATGATTTTGCATCTGAAGATGATAGTACTTGTTTTGATGCATCACAATTTAGTGAAGAACGTAGTGACACTAGTTGTGATGGTAGTGGAACTAGTCAACTAACACTCTTGTAAATTTTTCTTCTTCGTTTTTTTTTGCTTATAATAAAATTCAATTAAAGAATATATTTCGTTCGTTCGTTAATTTAATTAGTTCATTTTCTACTAAAGATCAAAGTTAATTTAGAAAAACGACCATCATTTTCTGCTTTTTATTATTCTGAATAATCAATAGAGAGAATGTGTATGATTCGATTTATTGTTTATACATCGATGTCGCGCATCAATATGTTTCAATAATGCCAGATGTTGATTGAAAAAAAAAAAAAACTTGGATTTCTATCTAATGTGTAAATAGCAACACCTTGTCTGTATATGCACATCTTCATTGTCACCAAACAAAAAAAAACGTTATCGAATCTGTCCACATATACACACATATTCCTCGCACCTAAATTCAATCCATTAGCACATTAGATCAAGTTTTTATTTTTAGTCTTGCATAATACTTCAAAAGAATCTTAGTTCTTTTTCTTTTTTTCATTAAAACAAAACAAAAAATAGAAATAATAATATGGAAATATTTAATTTGCCGATAAAAGAAAAAGTCATACGATAAACAATTTTAAGCTTGAGGAATAATCATTGATGCTATTATTATTTCCAATAAGTCAACGCTTGATTGATTTGATCATTGAATTTATTCTCGGTTTTTTTTTTTTGTAATATACTAAATTCATCGTACTAATTCGATTAGTCTGTTTACACCTTGTCTTATTGTGATTTACGATGACGAACAAGGACACCTACTGTGTAAATGCATAGTAAGAACTAAGAATAGACTTATCCTATGTTGGCAGATGTCCGTTCGCGCATTTCTATGTTTACATTCACAGTTCTACTAACTGATGACTGCTGAGTGTAGAAATGCATATATTCATATGTGTATTTATGCTTACTTAAGAGTATGTGTTTATCTCTTCAGCACCGTCAATTGTATCTTAGTTATTCAAGAATATGGATGCGCCTTCTCTCTCTCTCTCTCTATAGATATATATATATATATATATTTATTTTTCGTTGTCGACACATACTGACAAAAAAATATTTAGTCAAGTTCTTTTGCTTGTCTATGTATCTATCTTTTGATTAGACGACTAAAATTGCTTGAGGCAAAAACTTTCAAAAAATTAGTCTAATAGATAAAATATAGATGCTCATCTTTAGTTTTTTCTTTTTTTTTTCTTTTTTTGAAAAAAATCCATTACAGCACTTAAGAAAAAAGCAAGTGCATTTTCGACTATAACTAGTTGAATGAACAAGGTTTCTTCTTGTATAGCACATACATGCTAAAGAAGTCCTATCGACACATGCACATACACAAACGACAACAACAACAAAAACAGTCTCGGCTGCATTGTTGCAGGCAACAAAAACGTTTAGTCTTTTTTTTCTTTTTTTTTTTTTCTACTCTTTGTTAGACGACCTTCTTTTGTATTCAAGTGGTAAAGTGTATATATATATATATATAGAAAAAAAAAAAAAAGAATAAGAAATGAATGAATGATGAAATCGTGTAAGAAACGACACGAATGACGAATCTGTTTGATCAAAGTCTTATCATATATGATCATCATGACAACTCCCCCCTGTTGTCCCAACAGTCATTATGTCTGGCCCGCCTACTTTGATCGGTGTAATTGTGAAAACAATATTGCTCTCTTCATTATTGGTAGTTTACAAAGACGATACATATCGATATCTAGCTAGGAAATGATTGGTTAAAAAGACAGAGATTTCTTTCTTGTGTAAACAAGTACTACATACACGTGTCACATACTCTTCGACAAGAGGAGAAGAGAGAACGATACTTTTCTCTTGTAGTGTTGTGCAAAAAAAAGTACGAAGACTTCTTGTTGAGTAGGAGGAGAGACGAGAAGAGAAGAGAAGCGATGCGATTTTTTTCTCTATTGCTGTCGGCGAATAAAATCGATCGCATACAAAACGTTGCTACGAAAAATCTTTCTTTTTTTTTTCAGGAAAAGAGAAAAAGAAAAAAAAAAACCGAGCGAACGCGAACACATACATTTACAAATACACACATACACACAAACACTAAATCAATCAAAATACTTGGAACTTGTATCAATTAATATGAGTATTCCAACAAATACAAGTAAGATTTTCAATGACTTGTTCGAGGAAGGAAGATATTAACAACTCTTCTATTTCCGTTTGGAAACTTATTCAATAATTTTGTTGGTGTTTTTTTTTTTTAATTCTTTCATCTTTTAGAGTCAATATTTCCTGAATGTTTTGGTTGTAAATTATCAATAAATGATCCATCATTTCTTAGTGTTACACCTGGAATTCATTGGCATGATGAATGTCTATATTGTCGAATTTGTAAACAGAAACTTGATGAACGTACAACTTGTTTTATGGATCGATATGGTTTTCCATATTGTAAACGTGATTATTCAAGGTAAAAAATTTATCTTTTTATCTTTTTATTTTTATATTTTCTTTCTTTTTTTTTTTTCGATAGAAAATTTTATTTTCAATGTTTTGCGTGTCAAAAAAATTTATTACGTAATGATTTAATTCAACGAGCAAAATCGAATGTTTATCATGCCGATTGTTTTCGATGTGAAGCATGTCGAAAATGTTTACAAGCTGGAGATGGTAAGAGAGAAAGGAAAACTTCATTGAGTTTCTTTTTTTTTTTTGTTCTATGAAATAGTTTTTTTTTTTGTTTTGCAATAGAATTTACACTGAGTGGTGATAATCGTATTCTATGTCGAAATGATTTTGATTCTTTAACAAATAATAATAATAATAATAATAATAATTCGAATGAAAAATTAAAAACACTTGATTGTCAAAAATTATCAAATAATGATTTAACAATAAAAGTAAATAATAATAATAATAATGAAAATCCTATACGAACAAATTCTTTAACACAAAAAAAGAAATCATCAAGAATAAGTACAAATAATAAAATGATTTCATCTATTGATGATATAGATTCTAATGAAGAAAGACATAAATCAACAGATGATTCATCATCATTATCACCAAATGGTTCATCATCACAACAATTAAATTCAAGTAGTAATAATAATAATAATAATGCTGAACGAAGACCACGACGAGATAAACAACAACGTGTTAGAACTGTATTAACTGAAAAACAATTACATTTACTTAAATCATGTTATGCTTATAATGCAAGACCTGATGCTTTATTAAAAGAACAATTAGCCGAAATGACTGAATTAAGTCCCAGAGTTATTCGAGTTTGGTTTCAAAATAAACGTAAGTTTTTAAGGCTTTTTTTTTTTGTTCTTTTCTAAGGTTTTATTTGAATGTTTATAATAGGATGTAAAGATAAGAAAAAGACTGCTGCTCAACAATCACGATTTCCTGGTGATCCAAAGGTATTAGTTTTAAGTTTTTTTGTTTTTAAATTAATAATTTATCAAATTAAGTCAATCAAATTTTTCTTTTCTCTAGCGTCATCGTCTTGATATTTCATCAATGCCACCACTCGTTCCAAATGGTGAATCATTTCTTCTCGGACATCCTATGAGTGTTCTATCACCATGTAATAGTCAAGGTGGTGGTCAATCAGCAGTTAATGGAAATTCGAATATTTATGAAACTGGACCATTATCAACATTACAGCCGATTGGTTCAGTTAATACGAATGGACCTTTTCTAAATACACGTGACGGAATGATGTATTCATTAGCATCATCACCACCATCGAATAGTGATGATTCATATGTAATTGGTCCACATGGACCTTTGCCAACAATGTCATGTCATAGTGAATGGATTGAACATCATCCTCCACAAGGAAATGATTATCATGCAACAATGCCAATGTTTCATCCGGTTAATATCCATGAAGAGGAACTTGATGATCAAGATATGATGATGCCTATGGAAGATGATAGTCTAGACCAAACGAATTCGGATTTTAGTGATGGTTAATTAAACAGAGGATGTCTTTTATATGTGTGAGTGTGTGTGTGTGTGCACATGTATATATATATATGAAAAAAAGAAGAAATTTAACGAGATGTTAACTCGTTTTATTTGTATTTGTTTGTGTGTGTAGTCAGAGCAAAGAGCATATGTATTCGTTTTCTTTCTTTTTTGGATTTTCACGGTTTTTCCCTGCATTTAAAAAATATATTATAATTGATGCATATAATTTTAGTTTTCTTTGTTTCTTTTCTTGAGACATAATTTGATAGAATAGTGACGATACTTGTTTTAAAATATGCATGTTTTAAGAAAAAACACTCGATGAATTTTTTTAAAAGAAATAGTAAAACATATTTTCTTTTTTTTGTGGTTGAATATAAATTCTTTTTAGAATAGCCTCAGGGTTTTGTTTGTTATTAGATCATTTACAGTGAATGTTTAGAAAGGATATTTTTTTTCAAAACATATATGGATAGGGGAAAAGCTTGAAATAGAAATGTAGAATAAAGTAAAAATAATATTGATCTATATCACTTCTAAAAACAAAATGACAAACAATTAGATAATTATGACCGTTTGTAGTAGACGACGATGTTTTTACGATATAAGAAAGTTTTTATTTTGATTTAGAAATTGTCTAAATCAATAAATGCGACAGTTTTCTCAGCATTACAATATTTATTCGAACACGAAAAGTATTCTTTTTCTTTAGGGAACCATCCATAAAGAATATCTATGTAAAACTCGCATTTTTTGAGTTTCGTCCTCTCTGTCCAGATTTGTTCAGTTTTATCGACTCCCTTCCCTTCCTGAACATTCAGCATAAAAAAAGACAACTTTCTAAAAAGAGCCTGCTTATTCAAATACATTGTATTTTAATGAGCAGAAAATAGTAGAAATATAAAAAAGAGACACGTAGCACTCAAAAATTCAACAACATTTCTATTACTGCTCAAAAAAATAACTAGCTGCTCATGTAGCATAGTCTTCAATTATTTCAATACCATATTTATATTCAACTGATTCATTTCTTGTTTAAAAATATGCTTCAAAATTTCACTGAAAGTTGTGTAAAAAAAGGCAAGTATTCCTAGTTAGCGTCTAGACGTCCAGAAATGTTTGAGTTCCCTCTCCACTGTCCAGTTTTGATACATCCTTCCTCTACCTGAATACTCTTTATGGATGATTCCTAGACCATTAAAATATATTCTCATTGTCAATTTCAAATATCTGTGATTTCCAGAATAATAAAATGAAGAATGCATTATGATATAAATTGGATTTTTGTTGTACTTTTATTTTTCATAGTTGGATAACTTTATGAATTTTTTGATTCTTGATTAAATTTTGTTCCAAATTCGCGACTTTTGACAGTATTCCCTCGTCTATTGATCCTGTTGTTCAGTTAATAAAGGGAGTAAAACTTTGGAACAAGTTGTTGTGTTTTCCGGAATAGCGAAACATCTAAAGGCTGGATAAAACAATCCATAATGTAAATAATCAAACGAAGGTGCTACATGATCTTTGAGATCGGTTCTATAGAAATATCAACGTTACTTCAGATTGACATTATAAATTTGCATTCAATAGTTTTGAAGATTGATTAGTGTCAAGTCAATTCATATAGATTTAACACAAAATCTCTAAAATAGACTTGCACACTTCAAAACACATTGCCAAACGGATGATTCCAGTCTTGGAAACTATCTTGCACCATCATTTGATTGTTGAAATGACTTTCTTCAAATCTATTCTTCTTGGTGTTTAGAAAAAAAAAACACTTTTTTTTGTAGGTTTTCATTTTTTAGCATCTAACATAATGGCCAAATGAGTAAAACATTTTAAATATATATGGTGTTTGTAAAATATTCAATTAGGAATATTGCAATACATATGACCAAATAAATTTAAGAATGTCCTTTCTTTAAACATTATCTTAAGCTTGGATTATAAAATACACAGATTAATGATATCACACAATAAATTGAACTCAGCTAACATAAGAAGTAAATATACTTAGTAATTAGACTTTTGGGATTAATATGAAGCCAATTATATAAGGCAAGTGGTCGGAGGTTCTTTGAGTGAATATATTGCCGTTGGAAGGATGAGTGTAATGTCATCATTCAAATATCTCTTTAGTGAGGAGAATATTAATGGTCTTTATCTTTTTTTGAGTATCTATGAAAGTTTGAAATCAGAAATCATCTGCTTCCACAAATATTATGAAACATATATAGTTATAAAACATCATCATTCAATTAATATCAGAATCTTTGTTTCATAACTTCTATTGAAATAAGTATTAAGACCTATATCTTATAAGGGTGCATTCCCTAGTTGTCGGTCAACAATTGCGCTTACACTTGCGTACTCAAGTTAAACGATACGACTTGTATACGATCTTTTATGCGCCACGTGAAACTCTAAACGACTATGTACGACTAAATTGCGGCTAAAATATCGATATATATATTAATCTATCGTGCTACCTCATTACGACTAGTACTTCATCAGATCTTTCAGGAATAGACAAATAAATTTCGCAAGTTAAAGACGTTATCTATAATACCCCTGATAGTTTCAATAAATACAAGTTTTTAAAGATCCTATCAAACATATCTGTTAGTCACAAAACTACTTTGAATACACGATGCTGATAACCGTAATGACACACTAAATATATCAGTCTTATATTACTGAAATAATTAGTAAATCATTTTGTTTTAATGTTTAAAGCTACAATCAAAAAGCCCTCGCGTCATTACTATCTTATTCTTGCCTAGTTTTGCTGTAATTTCAGTCGTATATTAATAACATCAATGCGAATACTCTGATATGGTAACATACAGACTACTACTTCTATACTGCGCATATCCATAATGCTCTCATTTTCTTCGTCGAGATTTAGACAAGGCAACTCCATACACAGACTAATGAAAACCAAAACAAAATTGTCTTTAAACTTCAAATAGTGGGATGTTTATTAATTTGAAGACAGCTGCGATAACAACTGAACGTCTAGGAGATTTTCCTACATGAATCCTTCGGGTATTTCGTCTTATAAAGTATAAGACTTTTACGTTGGCCTGTTAAGATCATCACATACGGAACCAATACTTCTTAGAACTACACACTCTTTAGTATTTTGTTGTATATTTTCTATTACACAATCCTTCTTTTACTGGATATCCATGTAATGAAAGCCGAGAAAAAACCGGCGGTTTACCGTGCTTTTACCAGTCTGGTTACGGACTCCTTTAGAGCGAAAAATCGATTCTTTTCTCCGATTAACTGCGGTAAACCGCCAGTTTTTCCAGTTTCACCGACGCTTTACCGATTAATCGATGATTTTTAATGGTACCCAGAGGTTAATCGGTGATTTTTGATGATAAATCGCGGTTTACTACTCAAAGTGATCCGTTTTTTGTGACATGGATAAGCCTAGCTCATACATAGTAATTATAATTGCTAACAGCAACTAAAATATTCTATAGTTCTTTTGATTAAAATTAATCGCGAAAAAATTCTTCGAAATTTAAGAAACTATAGTACTCAAGTTGATGCATTCTAATTAAATATGATGCCAAGACTTAACTTTCAAGTTTGACTGTCTTAATCTTAGAACACTTCAAGATGATTTCCAATATGTCATATGATGCAATATTGAACAGTCTACAACATGAAGTTATTATATTATTGATAATCGTCTTGTGATATACACATTTGGTCAAAGTAGTGGAAAAACAAAGCTGCATGTACTGTCAGAAAATATAGTATTTAGACCTTTTTGATTCTATAATAAGGCTAAACAGAAATGTCACATCAAAAATTTTGTGGAACAAGCTAAACTCTGTCAATTAGTATATGATTCGATTAGAAAAATTAAATAATGTGAAGGCAAAAAAAGTTACAAATTTGACATGACGTAACACTTAAATTAGCTGAAGTATGGTGTGGGCGCTCAACATTCGAGTTCAGCTATCTCGACTGTTGAATCTTTTGAAAGAACGTCTAGTATGTAATTCGATATAGAGCTGAATGGGCTTAAACATGGCATAAGAAGTTTGTTGGCAATCGATTTATGATTCACATAGTTAATGAAAATACTGAAAAATAGAGGAAAAATTATGTATCGCAAAAAAAACTGCATTTGGACTTAATCGACGTTATTTTAGTAGAACAGTGAAAAAATTTTGAGGGAAAACTTCACAAAAAATGATTCGTCAAGTTTTGACACTTTTTAAGGATATGCTTGCCGAAAGGGTGTCTCAGATCGGTCTACCCCAATCGATCCAGAGTAAATCTTTAGGCCGTGAAATTTTAGATTATTCTATGGCATATACAAAGGCATAACTTTCTATGGGATGAAATTCGAAATTTGTTTACCCCGATATTTTTCGATATCTCACATTCTTTGGTTTTTTCATGTAGTGTCTTCTAATAAATTGAATTGCAATTATTATATTACTTTAGTTATTATCTTTTTCGAATTCGTCCTACACTTTACGTATATTCAATCTCCATACTACTCTTGTCTCATTCTTTCTTCTTATCTTACTCTCCTTTTTCTTCTTATGAGTGGTACGTCTTTGCACATAACAATGTCAACAAATGATCTTCACTTCTAAAGTAATATTTCTCGTCTTATCTGAGAAATTTATTTCAACCTAAAGCAACAAAAAAAAAGAAAGAGAACGTTGTTCTCGTCGATTTCATGTTACATAAGTGTGGCGTAATTCAAAGTGAAAACAAGAAACAAGTGTGCAAGGTTTATAATATCACTATCTCAACGTCATATCATCAGTAAAGTGAATACAATATATTAAAATCAACAAAAGAAATTCTGCACATTCTATAATAATGCTTCGATTCACTAATATCGATCATAAACCAACAAGGCATCCACCTGTCTATGAATATCACACTCATCCACTACTTCCACTTCAACAAGCTCTCGATCCTATTCTCTCTAAAATAGACCACTTAGATCAATTTATTCAAATTGCAAGGAATGAATGTCATTTTCCTTCAGAACATGGTCTTACTCGTGAAGAATCAGCATCGATTTATTTATATACTATGGATTGGGATGAACAAAGTCTCTATCAAGTACTCAACGAGGCATTGCATGATAAAGATCGATCAGTATTAATACCATGGTATGGTTATCTCAAATTACTTGATACTGCATTAACAAAACTACCTAGTCTTCAAATCAATTTATGGCGTGGTGTCAATACTGACATCAGTAAAAATTACAAAGAAAATGATGAGCTAACTTGGTGGTATTTTAACTCATGTTCATCTTCAGCTAAAGTCGTCAAACACTTTCTTGGATCTGTATCAACATTGTTCATGATTGAAGCAAAGAATGGAAAAGCTATATCAACATATAGTAACTTTCCAGAAGAAAAAGAAGTTATTCTTCCATTGGGTAGTCGACTTCGTGTTGTACGTGACACACTCGATCATACATCATTAAATGTGATACACTTGCAGGAAATGGTGGATGAAAGTGACCAAGAATTAACATCATCCTTCGCAAATATGAGCGTCACTCAGCCAGCGGAGGCTTCAGTGGGTGAGTAACTTTTTCTAACGGGCTAACCAGAAGATGATTGTCGTTTCCTAGACGTCAAACCAACATTGCCAAGTAATGAGTCTTCGACATTTAAAGTCTGGACTGACGAAAATGGAGATAAATACGATACGACAGTTCGAATATCATATGTTGGCAAGTCTTGTTATTCGATGTTGATGAAAGCTTGTTAAATCTTTCACACCATAAGGGAACAAACACTAAGGAGAATGGAACAATGAGAAAAGGCATGGAAAAGGTACGTATTACTATGCCAACGGGATGAAATATACAGGTGATTGGGTCGATGACATGCAAACAGGGGAAGGCATTTTTACATGGCCCGATGGTGATCGATACGAGAAGGAATATTCACAAATGTCTTCTCCTGATCTAATATGATAGTCGATGTTTTAGGAAGGATAATTGATACAATCTATGAACGATTAATGGGACAATACAAGGATGACAAGAAAAACGGAAAAGG